TGCTGGTAAAACAATGGGGACGCTGGCTTTGACTAGGATCCTATGCCTGCTTCCCAGCTGGTTCCCCCATGGTCCAAACAACACCACACAAAGGAGGGCTCAGTGAACAAGTGGAGTAAGCGACTGAGCTGAGATACCAGGAGGGCTTTTCCTACTGAAAGTAAGGCTCGGAAACCCTCCCACATTAGCTCAGCAAAGGTGATGGGCAGGGAAAGAGAGGACCCCAAATGTCATATCCTACGGGGGCTTCCTCACCTGGATTCCCACTGCCAGTATCACCCTGCACCCTATTGGTATTCAGGCCTCAGCGGGGACTCAAACCACCCCCATCACTGACTCCCTCAAAGTCACCCGGGCAGGTCGAGGGAAAACACACACAGGAGATCTGGAGCCACTGGACGGGACCAAGATTCTGACCATGCTGCTGGAAGCTGCCTCCCTGCCCACAGCCCAGCAGGCTGACCACCTCCGCAGGCACCCCATGGAGGCCCCCACTTCTCAGCTTTCAGCTGGCCTTCCCTGGACACTGCCAGCCTCTCACCCACCACTTGGGAGTTCAAGCACAGCCCTTCCGGGGAGATCGCCACCTTGACCCTCCCCAGGGCGTCCTCCAGGTCCAGCTTCCAGCTCCCCACAAAGTCCTCTTCTGGGAACCCTTCTGGCCCCCACCTGCACAAGGGATGAGCCCTGGCGCCTCCTAGCTCCACTCACATGGCAACTGTAGCGGCGTCCTCAGCATCTAGGATGGGTGTGTGGTGGGCTGGGGACGGAGGATGCCGCTGCCCAACGATGCAGACGGAGGTTTTCAAACCAAGCAAGTCTCAAACATCCTCCTCCAAACAAAAGCTCAGGAGGTCATCTGATGTGTCAAACCCAGAGGCAGAGCTACCCTGGCTGAAGTAGGTGAAGGTCTGAGTGCAGCCCCTACCCCTGGCTGCCAGCCGTGGGGGCACCAGAGCACAGCACCAAGGCTCCTGACCCCAGAACAGTTCAAGAACTGAGGTCTGGGGTCCCTGCTCACAGCTGTCCCTGGCAGGATAACCCTGTCCACCTGGCTATCCCAGGACTCTACCACCAAGGTCCCCCCACTGGGGGAACTACCCTGCTCTGCCTGTCACCCTTCTCCAGTTCGATGCAGAGAGAGCCACCATCTGACCTCCAGGGCCTGCCTGCCATTTCCCAGCCAAGCAGCCTCCACAGACAATGCTCTATGTCTCCCTAAATTCAAGAGATGTCCAGACTTCAAAAGGTCCCTCTCTTGAAAACTCAGGGAAAGCAGAGACCTGGGGAAGGGGGTTTGTGGAAAAGATCATACATCCTGTTGCAAGGACGTCAGGCACAGGCGCCTCTGCTGGGCAGTCTGACATTCCCAGTGATCTCCTCTCCAGCCACAGACAGACAGGAGCCAAGTGTCAGTGACCTCACACACCAGCCCACACAGGGACCCTGGGCCTCCAGCTCTGCTCTGGTCTGTTTCATGTGCCCCAAGCATTTCCTGGATGCTCATTAAGACTGGTCCCACCTAGAGGTGAATTTTGAGACCTTTGTTTGTTGTTCTGGGCTGACTTCTGGGGCCCACCTCTTCTGTAGCCTTAGAATTTCAAGGGAGCTCAGTTCCCTCCTTCAGCTGACCGAGAATCCCCCTCCTACGCTCAAGGCAGGGTCTCCTCCTGCCCTGGAGGCTTACTAGTTCTCTGGACTGCAGAGGACTGGCCTGACAAAGCTGGGGCGTCTTCCCCCAAGAGACCCCTCACACACATGCTGTCCCAGAGTGCCTAGCCTGGAGCCCAGTGGTTCACGTGGAGGAAGGCGGACTCTAGCCCCTACAGCCTGCCAGACTGCCAAGATAGGAAAGCCTGGCCAGAGAGCCAGGGGCTGCCCCACATACCTGGGACCCAGCCATCCTTCCAGAACCCCCACAGAGGTCTGACAAGTGCTTCTCTCTGAGTTCTTCACAGAGACCCCTAGGACCTTGCTGTTCCATGGGACCAATCCTATCCCCAGCTCAGACACATCTCCGGCTGCCAAGACGGCAGCTGCTCTCCACGCCCCATCTGAGGCTCTGAGATCGCACACCTTCAGCCCTTGCCCCAGCCTCTGGGGAAGCAGGTGAGCCTGCCTCCTCTGGCTGCTGCTTCCCTCACCCCTCCTGAAATAGAAAGCCGACTGGCTGCTGTCACTGTGTTTGAAGCAACTCCGCAGCAGACCCAGCCTCCTCCAGAGAGAAGCCAGCCAGGTGGGGAAAGAAGACATGTGCACATGTATGTAATGTGTGTGCACACACAGACACACACACAGTTAAAGGCACACACACAGTTAAAGGCAGCCGGCTGTCAGGGTTGGGAGAGTTGGAAGTGCCCAGAGTCTTTTCAGCATCCTCTCTTCTCTGGTCCCTGGGGGTCAGGGGGACGAGGAGAGGTGTGAGGGTGAGCCTTACATTCTCTGCAGTCACCCAGGCCGACAGTCACAGGGCCAACCCCTGGCCACTGCAGGCGGAGACCAGCAAAGAGAACCTGCCCCTTCCTCGTCTTTTACCCGGCTTTGTTCCCCAGCATGAAAGATCAGGCTGAACACGGGGGCAGAGGTGACCCCCACCCCCAGAAACCAGCAGAGCAGCTGGGCCGCGCCTCCACTGTGGGGCAGCCCCACGTCTCGCTCTCCCCCAGCGGGTGGCCCAGCCCACACAGCAGGCCTCACAGACATCCCCGAGGAGCCCCTTGCACTGCCCTGCACCTGTGGCTTCTGCATCCCAGGCAGGAGAGAGGATGGCACCCTCCCTGCTGCAGGCTCAGCCCCAGGAAAATTGAGCCCGGAGCACAGCTGACAGGCTCCCAGGGAGGAGATGGTAGGAGGAAGGGCTTTCATCAAAGAGGTGACGTCAAAACCAGGCAACTTGTGAAGCTGTCAGGGGCCGGGGAATTTGGACAAAGGTGTCTAAAAATAAACCCCCGAAGCCAAGAAAAGGCATTGGTGGCTGAGTGGCTCGCCACCGCACCACAGGCCACACGTCCTGTTCTGAGGTCTGGAGCCCACAAAGTCTCCTCCCAGGGGTGCTCCCCCAGACTGGCCCTTGAATCTGAGGACGATGCAGACAGGACCGGAGACGCCACACACCAGCCCTTCCTGGGGACAAACTCTGAGTAGGACAGACGCGGCCGGCCTTCCTGCCCTCACCACCCGCCAGCTCGCCCAGGTCTCCTCACCCCGCCCCCTGCGCCCTTCTGGCTGGCACCCTCCAGCACACAAAAGCGATCCTCCTCCGTCCTCCCCACGCCCCTTCCCCACCACAGCAGCCCTCCTGGTTCTCCTCTCTCCACCCTTGCCCACCACGGCCACAGCTGGCGACCTGGGGCCCCACCCTTTCGTTGCCCAGCCCTGACACAGACTCTCACACCCCCTTCACCAGCACGTGTCTGGGCTCCCACGTCCATTGCCACGGCCCTGTCTCATTTCCCAAGATGCTTCGGAGGACAAAAAGCCACCAGGTTCTTCCAAAAGCACCAGGTCCACATCCCTGTTAACTCTGTTCTGTTCCCTGACCCCGGCCACGCTGGCCACGCCCTGCACACATTCCTGTTAACTCTGTTCTCCAGTTCCCTGACCCCTGCCATGCTGGCCACGCCCCTGCACAGCCTCTGCTGCTGCGGCCGTCCTCCGGGGCAAATACTGTCAACCATGTATGGTGCATGTCACCACACATAGCCGCCAGCCCAACCCTCTGTGAACCCCACATTCCACACATCACTGCTGACCCCACACCCTGGCTGGGCTGTTCCCCAGACAGACCCCCACTGACAGAGCCCACAGAGCCCCTCACCTCCTCCCTCCGCCTTTCTCACGTCAGCGGAGAGCACCCTACACGCTCACCCACCCTCCCTGGCCAGAGGTGACCGCGGCGTGACTCTCCCACTCCTCCTCCCCCGGATCCAACCCACCCACAAAGTAGACAGTTCCACCTCCAAAACAGACTGCACATCCCCACCTCGTCTGCACCTCCGCAGCCCTGCCCCAGCCCAAGCTGCCACCGTGCATGGCAGGACTTGTAACAGCTTCTCAGCACCTCCACCCGGCCCCCATGAGCCACAACCCAGATCCCGGCTGGAATGCTGCACAGACTTCCCACTGTCTTTAGAGCAAACCCATGCTCTTCACCCTCGCTCTGCTGAGAACATTCTTACCACCCCTCCAAGGGCTCTTCTAGGATTTTTGCCTGAGATGTTGCCTCCTCCGAAAGGCCATCCCTGACCACTCTGTTCACTCGGTTCCCCACCTTTTCTCACCCTCTTCTTTCCTAGTACACATCCCATTTTTGTCTGACGTTATCACCTATCTCCACCGCCTCACTGTAAACACCTATTTCACACACCAGGATCTCACACCACGTCCAGCATAGCACCTGGCATAGACATTCGACAAATACAAGGCAAATGGAAGAATAAGCCATCACTTCCAAGCCCAAATTGGGGTCATTTCCCTAGCACCCAAGTTTCCAAATGTTTTAGAAGAGGAGGAGGAGGAATTTACAGAAGGGAAAGTCTGTCTCGGGGTCCTTGGTCTGCAAGCCTCCAGCAGGATGGGGCAGGGTGGGCCTGGAGTGGGAGCTGAACACTAAGGATGTCTCTGGTCCAAGTCAGAGCTTAAAGGACAAGGCTGGATTTCTGAACAAATTCCCCGTGCTCCTGGGAGATGCTTGGGGCCCACAAGGTCTTGGGTGTATAGAAGAAATGTCAGTAGCCTCTGCCCATCTTCCTAGCTTCACAAGCACCTGCTCCATGAGATCCTACCCTCCCCAAACCACCGTTCCCCCCAGACGAGGCAGGCCTCCCAGCTCCCACTCAAAGGACTGGCTGTACACACGTACACACACACACACACACACCCTCCCCAAACCACCGTTCCCCCCAGACGAGGCAGGCCTCCCAGCTCCCACTCAAAGGACTGGCTGTACACACGTACACACACACACACACACACACACACACCCCAGACTTGTGTCTCACCTTGATGTAGGCATCCAGGGCAGGATGGACCCGGCGGGGAGCCAGCCAGATGGACAGGGGGGTGGTGTAGGGGAAGATGGCCGTCACCACATGGCTGGGCGCTGGGAAGGAGAACACCTTGAAGCCAAATTTCTGATAGAGTCGGATGAGCTCAGAGGAGGGTGACTCCTCACCTTCACTCAGAATGCTGCCCACTGCACAGCGGCACTTTTCAGGGGGCACCTGGGGAGGCAGAGCAGGGGAGGGGTGTCAGGGCTGGCGACGGAAGGAGGCCCACAAGCCTCTTGCTTCCTGGCTTCTGGGCCAGCTGGGGCCTGGGGGAACTACCAGCTCCAACAAGCCCCACAGCCCAGACGCCACAATGAAGTTGACAGTTTTCCTGCTGAAACCCAGGCCTGTGGCATCCTGTCTCATCCATCCTCCACTGCACAGGGCAGGCCCCTGCTGGCGGCAAAGAGGCCACAGAAGCGCTGGTCAGGAAGCAGAGTGAGATCCTCAGCCCCAGGGTCTCAGGCAGGGCTGGCCCCCATCACCAGGGCCTCCGTACCTCTGCTCCAACCCATGCCCCTCCCTAAACCCTGCCCCACTTCCCCTTCTTGGCTGAGAATGCTGGTTCCCTCCAAATCTCTCTGGGCCCCTAATACCTACACCTCACTGCACTCTGCTCCCCTCCCTCCCCTGGCTCCCACAAACTGCAGCTAGATAAGGGCTCCCAGGCTCTGAGACTTCCTAGGGTTGACTCCAGGCCTGCAAAGCCCAGCACTTGCTTTTCCTCCTGGCATCCATGGGCCCCAGTGTGTCCTACCTCCTGCCGCCTGAATCTGCACCAGCCCCCAGGGGAATCTGCTCCTAAACCCGAGAGACTTATCACAGACCTAAGGCTCTCTGTCCCGGGTTTCCCTCCATCTGAAGGCGCTCCTCAGGGCCCACTAACCCCTCCGTTTAAACTCCTTCTACCTGCACTTTCTCCTCTCCTGAGCCTGCCATCCCAGTACCGTGCAGTCATGTTCACCTGTCTCTGCCTTCCCATGGCCCTTTCCAAGCCCACTCACCAGTCCCCTAAGGGATCCTCAGCCCAGCCCTACCTTTCTATTCTGGCCAAATCAGCCCTGACCTTGGAGTGTCACTTTGCCTGAAATGGACACCAACTCCCACCTCTGCATAGTCCCTGGGGGTCACCCCAACTCTCTGTAGCTCGGTCCCCTTGAATCCTATGTTGTTAGGCATAGCTCAGGGCTTTGGTGGCAGGCAGTATGGGACAGCAGGCAGTATGGGACAGTGGTCAGGACCACGGCTTCTGGAGAGAGGGAGGCCCGTGTGTGAATCTCAAGTCCTGTGTTCTGGGTGAATCCCTTAGTTTCCTGAAGCCCACTGCCTAGATAAGAACTTACAGAACTGTATTAAATGAGACACTTCCAAGGAGGCCTTAGCATGGTCCGGCACTTGTCATCGTCCACATGACAAGTGCTCCATACTTGTCAGTTATTAGTAGCTACGACATAGGCCAAACAAGAGGTAACCATTGGCCTAGAAGCCCACTTACCCAAACCTCTGAACATGTAGCTCCTCCCTGCCCATCCTTCAGGCCCAAACACCCTCTTGGACAGCCTTCTCAGGGTGGCTCGACAGCAGCCCCGTGCTGTAAACTGTTACCTGCATCAAGTCAACCTCATAGCACTGCCACTTCTCTCAACCCGATGCTTCTCCCACCCTCCCCAGAGGAGTGGAGACAGCTGCAATACCATCTCTTGTCTCTAGATGGTGCAACTGCCCCATTCACACCCAAGACTTGAGGATGGCCAGAACGCCAGGTGGCTCCAGAGGGCAGGTCTCAGGCTGACAGACCCAAAGGACAGGGCCTGCGCCGAAGCCCATCTTCATGTTCCTAACCTAGTGACCTATGCTATACACAAGAGACATCTACCACAGGCTAAACAGAAATGGATGGAAGGCCAACCAACAGTCCCCTCTCCAGCCCCTGGCCTACCTGGGTTTGGGCCCCACGGTCTTGATTACCTCAGTGGCTCCAGCTCCAACCCTCCTCAGCCCCCCAAAGGCACCAGGATACTGTGATCACCCTGCTTAGCACCTCTCAATGGATCTTCCCAATTCACCTCTATCTAAGATGAAACTCCTGAGGCCCGCATGCGAGGCTGTATCAGAGCGGTCCACACTCAGTGTGTTGTGTACACACTGCCTGGCTCTGTCCACACACTCACCAAGCACTCCTTCTCTGCATCCCTAGCCCTGAGTAGGGGCCGAAACCCAGGTGGGCAGGCGCCCACTAAGCATCTGAGTGGCAGAGGAAGAGACAAATCCAGGCTCTGGCCAGCCAGCCTTGCCAGCCTCCTCTCCCACCACACCCCCACACATGCCCACATGGAACTATTTGCAGCTCGCCAAACATGCCACATCCTCCCATGCTTCCTCCCTTTGCGTAGGCTACTTCCTCTGCCTGGAATGTCCTCCTAACCCTATTTCTGAGTCCCTTCTGCCTGGGAAACTCCCCCATCCTTCAAGATTCAGCTCAACCCTCCTCTGAAAGCTCTGCCGCTCCTCGCTAGCCAGTCCCTCCTCTCTGATCCCCAAATGCCCACTGGAGGGAACAGGTCTTGTGCTGCCTGTAACTGGTGGCCTCTCCCTCTCCCCACCACTCCAGGCCTCTAGGCAGAAGGAAGGTTCTTCAGCGACAGTACAGGTATGCCTACATGCACACACATGCACACACGGGCTCTGCATCATGAGCAAACCTCTGCTCCCTCCACGGTGATAAAGGAGGAACTCTTGTCATGGGGGAGGGAGGCAGCCAATAAGGAGACAGAGCTCCTGAAGTCCTGGGCACAAGTGCTCCTTTCCTGCCTGAGCACCTTTTCAATTCTACATGTGAGAACACTTCCTGCCCCTCCCCTGTCCAAGGGGCTAAGGGGCAGCCTAGGTTACCCAGCACGCCCACCACCTGCTGAGCAGCCTCATACCAAGAGGAGTTGGGAGCCAGCCAAATCAGGCACCAGCAAGGAAGAGATGGGACAGGTCCTAAGACCAGCTGGGCAGTGGCAAGATTGGTCTCAGAGCAGAAGGCTTTCCTGGGCTCCCAGGACAGTCCAGCCCAGCTCAGGGGAATGGCTCACTGAGGTTTTCAAGGGTCCAAAAAGGAGTGTCCTGATGGCTGGAAATCCCACCCACTGTGGTTCAATGCAGTGTCCTTATTGGGCCTGACCTTCGGAGGGCAGCCTGGGCCTTCCAGGTCTAAAGGCCTTCTCCCTTTCCTCCCCATATTGATCATTTGGATAGCTAAGCTCAGAACAAGAGCTAGTACTCAGAACTAGCATCAGCAAGGAACCATACCAGGGAGACAGGGTGGTGGACAGACCCACCACCAACTTAGGTAAGTGAGGGGCCCATCCAGAATCTGCCCTCAGAGCACAACTGCTAGGAAAGAGATCCCAGAGTACCTCCTTCAGGCTGTGAGGCCTCCTGAGCCCTAGCCCAGTGAGAAGAGGGCTTGGAGCCTGTAGTTTTCAAGTACAATCTGGCCCCACTGCCCCTTCTGGAAAGGCCTTGCAGTACCCTGCTGTGTGACATCAGTGAAGAGATGGTCCCTGGCTGGCCAGGACCTCAGTGAATCTGGAAACTGGACAAGATCAATAAATGTCAGGATACAGGAAGAAAAAATGGTTTAAGCTAGCCCAGACCAAACCCAGCCCTCAGGATCAACAGAAATGGCCCTCCTCATGTCCACAGCCTGTATAAGCTGACAGACAGCTGCACTGTCCACCAGTCCCAGGCCCAGAAGGCTGCCTAGACTCCTTCCTGGCCAGCCCACGCAGCCCAGAGCTGCCCAAGCGAGTGGGAGCAGTGGGGCAAGGCCCTTCACTTGCACCGGTACCCCCTGTAGAAGAGATCAGCCACACCTGTCCATTACTAGAGGGTGAATGGTGGGCTCGTACCCTCCTGTGCATTGCAGGTCAACACAACAAGCCCCCAGATCCAACCTCCCTGAGGAGCTCAGGCCCAAAGGCACGGTGGAACTGGCACTAGGAAGGAAATGGGTGACACAGACGAGCAGGTCAGAGCATAGGACCGACACTTCAGGCTTGAGGGGAGGGAAGTCAGCAGGATGCCACCCTTCAGAGGGGGCTCCAGGGGCTGCTGGGAGCTCCCACCTAGAAGTCTTTCAGGGACTTTCTATTTTCACCCCCTGGCATAATCCTAAGGATGTCAGCTGGCATCTGACAAGGTGCTCACCATTGGCCTCAGTTGGTGCCTTCTAGGCATCAGCTCATTATATCCCTGAGACCCAGGGAGTTCAGCAAAGGGCATCCAGCAAGGCAATGTTGGCATCAGGGTTCAAACCCAGGCAGACTGACCCCAGAGCCATGCCACATACAATCCACATCCACCGGGGAGCCCAAGAAATAGGCCCTGCCGAGGAATGGCCTGGGGTTTCCCAAGTGGCAACAGGGGTAAAGAATCTGCCTGCCTCTGCAGGAGATGGAAGAGATGTGGGTTCAATCCTTGGGTCAGGAAGATACCCTGGAGTAGGAAATGGCACCTCACTCCATTATTCTTGCCTGGGAAATCCCATGGACAGAGTCTGGTGGGCTACAGTCCATGGGGTCACAAAGAGTAGTCACAAAGAGACGACTCAATGACTGAGCACAGGGCGGAATGGCCTGTACAATGGTTTCTCCCCACACTGCACCTTCTCACATGGCCCAGGACACCTGCACAAGGCTAGGCCACAGGCAAGCAGAGTACCTAAAAGCATCAAGTCTTCATGGTGTAAGGCATATGTGGGTGGGTGGGTGTGCACATGCCAAGATGGCTAAGCACCTAATAGGAGCTGGATATTTGGTCTTATCTAGTCCCCCAAAACACTAAAATCCTGAAACAGAGATTCTCAGAAAGACCATGGGACTTGCTCAGTCACACGCTGGTAAGCAATGGAGCCTTGATTCCAACCCTGAAGGGTAAGTCCAAAGCCATTCCCTCCATTCCTCACCCCTTCTCCTTCCCAAGGCCAGCTCCGCTGGGCAGTGAGTCTCACCTTTCTACAGCTGCCTACAGTTAACCTGCCTTGAGCAAAGACCTGGATTCCACGTGACAGAACTATTGCTACCGGATAGCTGGGTAGATGATGGTCTGGGCCTTCAGGAAGCATCAGCTCAGTCCACATCTCCCTTGCCTGTTTTGAGGGTGCAGTCCTGGGAAATCCTACTCCCTCACCCCGCCGTTCTCAGGCTCCACGGGACCTCAGTGCCTCCAGGGAGAGCAGGGGACCCCATCCCCATATACACTGAAGAGAAAGTACGGCATAGGCCAACGTCAGAAAACTCTTACTCAGCTCCTACAGATTTGGTGACCCCCAGGCTGACTCTCAAAGGACTAGAGGAAGAAAGAAACTTCAGTGTGGTTTAGCTTACTAAAGGGGCTTCCCTGGTGGCTTATCCATAATGAACCTGCCTGCCAACGCAGGAGATGCAGGTTCAATCCCTGGATTGGGAAGATTCCCTGGAGAAGGAAATGGCAACCCGTTCTAGCATTCTTTCCTGGAGAATCCCATGGACAGAGGAGCCTAGTGGGATACAGTCCATGGCCTCACAGAGTCGGACACAACTGAGCGACTAAAACAACAACAAGCTAACTAAAGGTAGAACCCAAGCACCACCAGTCCCCTCCCCCACCCCCTCCATGCCTGAAGCAAGCACCTCCTCCTAGGCCTTGATCAGGTAAGCTGAACAGGCTGCCACACCCCACTTGCCTCAGCCAAGCTCCCCACAAAGGCGGGCAGGCAGGTTACTTAAGCCTCAAATAGCAGCAGAGTGGGCAGCAGCAGGGGATGGGGCAGGAGGAGGAGGGCCAGGCTGTCAGACGGGACAGGCCCACAGGCACGGTGACAGCAGCCCAACCACTAGGGTTTGTTCACAGGTCAGAACTGGTCAGGATCAAACGAGGTGTGCAGAGTCCTCTCCAGCGCCTTGCCAACAACCAAGGCTCCCAGAGGGACCAGGCCTAGAAGGGGAAGTGAAAATCATCATCCAAGTCGGAGCGAGAGAGCAAGACAGAACTCTGTGTGTGTGTGTGTGTGTGTGTGTGCGCCACCAAGGCCCTCAGGGATGGAAAACAGAATGATTCCTCCGGCACCACAAGAATCACAAGCCTAGATCTATAGGCTCCTCCCATATAGAAATCTAAGATATAGGGCTGGCCAGCTGACTGACATCCAAACATAGACATGTCTCTCCAGGATATACACACTCAAGCAGCATCTCACGTGAAAGCGTCCACAGCAATGCCACAATCTTGCCTTGTTGGTGCCCTTTCGTGTGTTACTTCCTGGGCCCTGAGCCAGACCAGGGGAGCCTCACCCGGCCTTTCTGAGGAACCAACCTCCCTCTGTCCAGCTGAGACCTGGAAGGGGCGTGGCTGGGAGCTGTCAGTCCACACCTCATGGGGGTGGCCACCCCTCACCTGGTCATTCACTGCCCTACTCACAGAGCCTGAAATAGCCTCACTCCCTCCCACACTCAGAGAAGCCAGGTTCTGACTCCTGTTGTATTGTGCTGGGCTGTGCTGGGGAGGGCGGAGTGGGGATGGGACACTCCACAGCTCAGCCACATCCTGTCTCTTCCTCCTGTGAATCACAGCATGCAGGGTCCCATGCTGGACACCGCTGGGCTGGAGGAGGCAGCCAGGGAGCAGAAAGCTTCGCTTCTCGGCCCTCCCCAGGACCAGAAGAGGCCTGTCCTTCAGGTTCCCTGACACCCCTCGCGCCCATGGAGAGGGCCTGAGAGCTGCATCCCTTGGTCCCCACTGTGCACCAGTGCCCAGGACAGAGTGGCACAGACCAGATGCTCAAATATTTGTTAAATGCAAATAAAAAAGCGTAAGTAAACTTGGTAAGACAGTACTGCAGCACTTGCTAACTGATCGTTAGTCTCCTCCCCTATGGTATCAGCAGTATGGACCCAGAAGCCTCAGTTCTCATGGACCAATCAGTCTGTGGTAGCCATGAGAACATGAATCCTGGGGGTCCCTGAACCTTCTAGGATCTCTGCCAGGCAGGTGAGCCATCCCAGGTGTCAGGGTGTGACTCAGCTCTGAATGGGGACACAGGTTACTTCCCGAGTGACCCAGGACTGGGAAAGACAGGATCAGAGGAGCCACAATGACTATGTGTTCATTTTCTATGCCAACCTGATGGTCACAGCCAGGGCTAGGGCCTAGGCCTGGGTTATGAGTGCCCAGACTAACAATCCTCATCACACTTAATTAGCATGAGTGTTTTTTCTTCCATTTTTTGTTGCTACAATTTCTGATCCTCAACCACAGCACCTCAAGGTGCTGGGCTGTGCTGTGCTTAAATCACCCGGTTGTGTCTGACTCTTTGAGATACCAGGGACTGTAACCGGCCAGGCTCCTCTATCCATGGAATTCTCCAGGCAAGAATACTGGAGTGGGTAGCCATGCCCTCCTCCAGGGGATCTTCCTAAACCAGGCATCGAACCTAGGTCTCCTGCATTGCAGGCAGATTCTTTACCAGCTGAGCTACTAGGGAATGCCTCACCTATGTCACTTGATTTAACCCTTGCCAGCCGACCTAAAAGCAGGTATTTTTAACATTACTCTGCAGATGAGGAAATGGGGGTTCAGACAGGTTATGTGGTATGCCCCAAATCACACAACAGGACAGTGGTGAGACAAAATCAGAACCTAGGACTGCTAACCTCAAGGCTGTGCTCTCAGGCCATGGGCCCTCAGACTGGTATCCAAGTCAGGATGTGCCTAGCCAAGCCCGGAAATCAAGACCCAGCCCAGAGAGTCCATCACATCCCCAGGAGAACTGTATGGTGGGCTTCCTGGAGTTGGCTGGGTTAGGAGGCCTTGGGGAGGGTGCCCCATGCCAGGATTCTTCTACCTCACTCTTCCCTGAGCCAGCCTTCGGCAATGACCCAAAGGGACCACGGCCCTCTCCCATTCTGGAATTAACACTTCCAATCCAAGAGATAACATACAGCTTCTGATACAGGACATGCTGATAAGGAAAGAGACACTGCAAGGACCCTTGTCCCTCCTACTGAGCTCCTGCAGAGGGTTCCAACTGGGTCAGATGTGGGAGGAGGGGCAGGGAGCAGGGGAGGGTAGCGGAGAGACAGGGACTTAGACAACAGAACCGGGCAAGGGTGGGGGTCCGGCGTCTGGTCTAGGATTCCCACAGCCCAAAGCCTACCCCAGCTCTCTTGGGTCTCAGTGTTCTCGACTCTCGGTGCCAACTCCAGTCATGTGACCTCAAGACTTCCATGTCTACTCATCCCTCAACCAGGCCACGTCACCTCTCACCCCGACTCAGCCCAATCTCAACAGCCCCCTGCCTCATCTCTTCCCCTTGCCATCTACTTAGCTTCCTAAATCAAAGGTGGCAAATTGTTCCTTACCTGTCCTCCCAACCCACTGTTCCTCCCACTGCCTGGCCCAGCCAATCCTTCTACATCGCTCTCCACCCACCACGTGTTCACTTGCCACACTTCCTCCGTCATCCTACATCTGCAGGCCTGTGCTCTGCAGTTCCCTTAGCCAGAAGGCCCTTCCCAGTAAAGTAAAATTATAGTCATGGCAGACCTCCTCTCTGAGCCTCCATGGTAGACTTGAGGCAAATCTACAGCTCAAAGTTCCATGAACATTGAACACAGTACAGTGTCTCGCTAGACATTCATTCATTTTTATAGGGCTGACTTGCCAACCCCACAGTTCCCTGAGGGCAGGGCCAGGTCTGTTCATCTCCAGAGTGCAGGTGTCAAGCAGAACCTGGCACAGAGAAGGAGTCAGGATATCCTTGTTTCAACTGAGCACCCCAGTGAGGCCCGCTCAGCATGCAGTGTGGAGGCTATAGGCCTTGCTCACTTGAGCTCTCCAGGCAAGGAAACCAGAGCTGGGGATTCCCAACACCTGGTTTGCCAAGACTCAGAGCTAGAGGCTGGAGAACCTAGGCAATGCTGCCAGCCCATGCAGCAGTAGGCAGCACCACCCCACAGCATGGCAGGAGGCCACATTGGTGAGCCCTGACTCACCACAGGCTGTAAGTACAGCCAGACACCCACGGGGTGCCCGTGATGCCAGGTCAGTCTCTCACCCCAGCATCCCGGACAGCTCACCAGGCTCCAGTTGCCCCCAAGCCCCTCTCCAAACCAGGCAGCTTGATGTCCAAAGAAATACCTTGTCCCTGGGCAAGGGACTATCATAATGACTATAAGATTTTATTTTCTTTTAGCAGAAGAGCTGAAAGAGGGAAGGCAAAGAAACGTGTGTGTGTGTGTGTGTGTGTGTGTGTGTTAGTCGATCGTGTCCAACTCTTTGCTATCCCATGGCCTGTAGTCCACCAGGCTCTTCTATCCATGGAATTCTCCAGGCAAGAATACTGGAGTGAGTAGCCATTCCCTTCTCCAGGGGATTTTCCCAACCCAGGGATTGAACCCGGGTCTCCTGCATTGCAGGCAGATTCTTTACCATCTGAGCCACCAGGGAAGCCCCCAAAGAAACTAGATACAATCCCAAAGAAAGGGCAGCATCTGAATGGCCTGGCTTTAGAGTGCTGGCTTCAAATGGGAATGAAAGAAGGCCAGAAGAGGAAGCAACAGAGCAAAGCCCCAGCAGAGCCTAGGGATTCACGGTGGCACTCAGAAGTTCGTGGGAGCCACAAGACAGGGAAACTAGACCTGGACAAGTAGAAAGCCAGTATATGGACGCTTGGAGCAGAAGTCCAGACTAAATCTGGAAGGAGCTTCAAGGCCAGAGAGAAGGTGGTCTACGTAGCCAATTCAATGATTTCCAGGCCCCTTCCTCAGAAACCGAAACACCCCGAGCCCAACAAGCCCTGCCCCATGTCTGTCCAGTGGGTGGAACCCCAGCCAGGGCACAGGAGGCTCCTTACCGTGTTGGGGTTGTCATAGTAGACAGCAATGGAGCGGAGCTTGGGGGAGACACTGCAGCTCTCCGTGAAAAGCGGCCCAGTCTCACCGTAGGGGCCCACGTGGAACTTGTAGGCCACAGTGATGTTGCGGATGGGGGGTGAGCCAGCACTCACTGTCACCCCAGCCAGCAGCCCTGAGTACCCGGCAAAGGCCAGCAGCGTCAGCAGCAGCAGCAGAGTCAGGCCCCCAATCAGGCCCAGGAGGAGCAGGTCCGACATGGCTCTGTGCCCTCCACGCCACACCCCAAGGCAGCTGCAAAGGAGACAGAAGGGAGAGGAGGCTGGTAGCCTGCTCTGACCAATGTGCCCGCCTGCCCACCAGCCAGCTGTGGCCCAACCTCAGCCCTGCCTTGGGTGCTCTGACCCGGGAGGGGGAGGGGGAGGAGCCGGAGGTGTTTACACACACAGTGACCTAGAAGGGAGCTACAAAGGATGACTGAAGCCACAAGCCTCTTTATTTCTTAATCACAACTATGGAGGCTCTCCAAGCAACTCTGTCAGTTGGCAGTCGTGATCACACCTGGGGAAGCTGAGTCACGAAGAGGCACAGGAGTGAGTCAGCAGGGGACGTATGTCTGGTCCATCAGGGGCGGCTGATCGTACTTCAGCCCTGATCAACCACCCCGATAGGCAGACATCAGCCTGCCTGCCAGCCTTTTCCCTACGCTGCCTGCCCAGCCTCCCCAAACCTTATGAACCACTGCCGGAGGGAGAAGGGGCAAGCACAGGGCCCTCTTATTAAAAACAGGGAAACAATGAGGAATGAAACCTCAGGGGGAGAAAATGTGCCACAGGAAGGGGCTCACATAGGAAAGTCTCTTTGACTAAACACATCTGGTCCAAGAAATACTGCTATCCAACAAGCTCATCCATCCAGAACCAAAGGAGAAGCCAGGTTAAAGAGGGCCTGAGCAGCCCGAACAAAGTCCAGCACCACGCTTCCTGAACTTGCTGAGCTCCCCAGGCTAACAAGCTTCATCCCAATTCTCCAGTCCACAGATCAGCAAGGAAGATGCAGAGGAAGAAAGACTGCTAGAAGTAGAGACACAACAGGGAGTGGTGCCTCCCATGGGGGAAGGATGCTGGCCAGGCAGGAACCCAAACAGGGGTCCAATGGCTGCTTCACCCCTCCCCCTTCCTTCCCTTCTCCCCAACATCTCTGAATGTTTGGAATTTCGTTTTGGGGGTTCAGCTCTCCCCCACTGACCTCCTGTACTAGGTAGTTCACAGAAAGGCATCATGTAGGTTTGCTAGGGGGTGTCTTTTCCTTTTTGTGTATGTCATTTATCTGACGATTCTCCCTCTTCCTCACTGGACTTTCCCGGTTTCTCCCATTTGCTATCTGCATGGTATAAGCAATAAAGATACTCATTTTAGGGAAGGAAAAAAAAAGCAGAGAAGATATCCAAGAGCAGGCTGAGGGACACAACCCATAGGCTGGTGTATGAGCCATTCCAGACAGACTGCCCAGGCCTCCATGCAACTTGGGGCCAGAAGACTAACTCTCTTAGAGGGCTTGACCTGCATCATCCAGGGTGGGGGGTGTGGGGGTGTGGAACACACCACAGAGAAGACTACTTATATGGTTCAGGAGCAGAAAATCAACACTTCAGTTCTATGGAAAACTTAGCTGTATGAAATAATTTATTCCCTGTGGGTTCTGGGTCTCAAAACTTTTTTCTGAAGAGCTGTCTTTGCAGTCAATTTGCACAGAGTGTTTGTCTCACAAACACGGACAATAAACTTCTAAACCTTTGGCATCATGACCTTGCGTTGTATCACAATGGTCTTTTCACCCACCCTTGTTCCTACCCTACAGTTGCACTTTTGGATGCATTCTTTGTCTTCCTCAACTTGCCTTCACTTAGTTTCACACCTGATTTCTTTGATGATGATAAGGCACTGTCTAAATATTGAAACACAGCTACTTCATTAATCCTCAAAACCAGATGGGTATGGATCAGAAAACAAGTGGTTGGAGATTAAGAGACTTGACCAAAGTCACAAAGGTACTAAACAGAACTGCCTGGACAAAATGTAGGCAATGAGAATCCAGGTAGTCCGACTTCCCCACTTCCACTTCTCTCCTCCCTGGGAACAGGACTTCCAGAAAAGCCCAAGAATTTAATCTATGTTGGACATCTCTGAACCCAAGGCTCTTAGCTGGAAGCTCTCAGCATCTAAGTCTCCCACTTGTCTTGAGAGTGATCAGCCCTCTGGTCCTTGCTCTCTCTGCACACTTCCTCTCTCCTCAAAGGAGCTTAGTTCCTGGAACACTTCTTCTCTTCCTCTTACTTCCTAAACTGCTCAAAAGAGGCGGGGAATGTACCTGGGGACCCGCTGAGCTCTGGGCAGCACGGGAAGGAAGCAGGGCAAAAGAAAGGGAAGAAGAAGGGCTGGGGAAGCTCACCTCTAAAGCCAGGCTCACTTTAGCAACTCATGGCATCCAGCGCGGCAAGGGGCCAAAGCTCCAAGTGCTCCAGGGCTGAGGGCAGAAAGAAAATAACCACTAAGCCGGGCGCCCTTCCCTGACTGATCAGGGAACGCCCATAGGGGCCTCGACAAGAACTGTCCTCCCCACAAGATATGGTGTACCTCCACCAAGTCCTCAGACCCCTTAGGGAAATCAGAAGCCAGATTCCGCCTGAAAAATGTCAGCTCTTCACTAGACTTCTGGGCATAAACCTCTGTACTTGGAGCGTCCTCTTCCTGGAGGGGTCCATCCACCGCGCCTGGCCCTGAGCCAACCCCTGCTGCTGACTCTGGGCAGGCTGTGACCCCTCTCGGTTTCTCCTCGGGTCAGAGAGGCCCGAGCAGAGAATCTGGGAAGGCGGCCCCGCGCTGGCTTCCTTAGGCCGCTCACGTGCGCCGCGGCGGCTGGCCCGCCCTTAAAGGGCCAGTCACAGGCAAAACTTTCAGCGCCCGCCGGGCGCGGGAAGATTTGGGAATCAGAGGGGCCTGCGAGGGGAGGAGAGGCTGCCTCCACTCTGCAGTCATGGCATCCAGCCCCTGCTCACCCTCGCCTTGCCTAGGTAACCTGCCCTTTCCTTTTCAGCCACGACCTCTAGGTGTCCCACGCACCTCTGCAACTTACAAGGAAGTTAAAGTTTGCAGCCACCGCTGTGTGGCGCGGCCTCAGGAGACAAGGGCGGAGTTTACGTGCGGCTCTGGTCCAGCTGTCGGACCCCGCCGCCCGCCCCGGAGTCCCTAGTCTCCGGGCGTGCCGTGCACCGGTGGCCAAGGTAGAGGGTGGCCCGAGATAGTAGAGTGGTCCAAGGTCGCGTTCGGGCCCTTGGATGCAGCCGGGACGAGCTGTGGGAGTGACGAGATGCAAAGAGCGGTTGGGCCGGGGTCACGGTGGGGACGCGGGTGGCCCTGAGGTCGCTCCCAGGCACACGGAGGTTCCAGGCCTCTGGCGCGTTAAGAGCCGCCCCGGCGAGGACACCTCCCAGACCTGGCCCTCACCTCAGCGGCCACCGGCCGCCGACGCCAATCCGCGCACGCGGCTTGGTCGTGGAGCCTGCGCGCGCCCGCCGCGCACGCTCGCTCCGCCCCCTCTCGCGGCAGGACGTGGCCGTGGCCGTGGGCGCGTGCGCGCGGGGCCCAAAGGGCGGGGGCCTGCCCCGCCCCGTGGCCATGGCAACAGACGTACGCCTGTACGGCTGAGCGGTCAGGGGCGAACACCACCCTCTACCTTCCTGCCTCCCACAAGCTTCTGGGCTGCAGGTCGACGGTGACTTAGAAACAATCTCTTAACTTCTGGACTGTGGAGAGCGCCACGACATGAGGGGGGAGTAGAGAGGCAGTCTGGGGTCCCAAACGGCTGCACCGGAGAGGATCCTTTGAAGAGACTGGGAAGTGTAGCGCGGCAGTACAACTCTGGCCTTGGTATCACCCTAGGTACTGTCACTTTGCCTCACTGAGGCTTCCCGACAGACCTGGGAACCAAGCAAGGCAGGGCCACTTGCTCCCATTTTACAGCTGAAGCTCAGAGAGGAAGCGGGATCCTATCTCGGACAGCGCAGATGGCAGCTACCTCCAACACTCAGCGTCTACCTCTCCCCTCCTCTGCCCCCCTTCCCCCCACCAAACGGAGCACAGAGGTGATCATTCTTCCATCCAACATTTATTGGGCATCGCTTCCTGCTAGTACAGTTCTAGGGGCTGCGTATACTTAATGAACAAAATCAAGGCCCTGCCCTCCTGGAGCTCACCAGGGGGGCACTCCGCCTTCCGGGTTCCTCCTTCAGTACCCTAGAGGTGGATGCGGGAGGCCAGTCTGCCCTTCTAAGTTAGTATTCTACACACCCACACACATACAGTGTGCGTGCTCAGTCGTGTGGTACTCTTTGCGACCCCATTGGACTGTAGCCTTCCAAGCTCCTCTGTCCACGGAATCTTCCTGGCAAGAATACTGGAGCTGGTTGCCATTTCCTACTCTAGGGGATTTTTTCCCACTTAAGGATTGAACTCGTATCTCCTGCATTGGCGGGTGGATTCTTTACCACTGCACCAAACCCCAACAGTAAGTTCCTTGAGGACAGCTTCAATCTTCAGCTGGTATTTTTGAGGAACTACAAAAACAACAAAGCATTCTTCCAGGGCCCCAAAGATAAAACCTCACCCTCCTGAGAGGCCCAGTCCTGCAGTGGAGGGGATAGGGCAGGGGACAACTCTGCTCATAAGCTCGTCTACATGACAGGCAGGGTCAAGAGCTACTTTGGTGCTCCTCATACAGAGGATTGGTTTGGGAAGTGAATTATTTTTGGAGGGGATTCCACTATACTAGCAAAGGGCAGACTGACACGGAGGCACTTGTAGCTGGTTTCTTTTCCTTCTATTTCACACTATTCTTTCCACCGGCAGGGAAGACTGAACCTCATCTACAGGGCTCTGAGCTAACCAGAATGGGTAGCTGACTTCTCAGAGGCGCTCGGGGCTGGGCTGGCAGGATTGTGGCAGTTCTGGTCTACTGATGGATATTAGGCAGATGATCAAACCCTCTGGGTGCCCCAAGGCAAATGGACATGAAAGCATTTTCTGTGAGACCAGGAAGGGCGGGCTACTGCCTCAGACACAGCCTCTGCATGGTCAGTTCTGCTTCTCAGAAGCTGATGAACTTCTCCCAGGAAACCATTGTCTGGAGAGGCCCTTTCATCTCGTCCTCTCTGTTCACTTACTTTAGCGTGGTAGGGGAACTCTAGAGCCCCATGTCAGAGTTCAGGATGTGTCTTAGGAGCCTCAGCGCCTCTGTGGTGAGCAGAGTTAGCCTGTGACTGGGGCTGCAGGCCATCAGCCTACCAGGCTTCACTGCAGGCTGCTCTCAACAAAGCCAGCTCTGCCCTTGGTAGGATTCCTGCAAGGCCTCTCCTCGCCAGCAGGAGACAGTAGTCCAGGCACTCTCCACTACCCCTGGTAGCATGTCTGAGCAGAGCTGATCACCTAGCCTCTGGGATCATCTCCCTCCCCCATGCTCCAGTCTGTCCCAACGGCCTGTATTCTCTCATGAGCCCAGACTTGGCCTTTGTCTCCTCTTGCGTTCCCTCTCCAAACGATTCCCACAGAAGCTCTTTAACTCTCCCTTAGTAAATTCCAGACAGTGTTTCACCAAACAGGAAACAAAGCATAGACAACCCCCTCCTTCTTCTACCTCTTCAGGTTAGTTCTCTTCGAAGCGGTGATTAGATCCTCTAATTCAGATGACAAATGGAGAATGCACATGCAATGTAAGATGCTCTCCAAACCCTGCCACCAGCCATCTCCCACCCTCTGAAGGCCAATCCCTGGCCACTCACAGCCTAGTTAGGGCTACCCCTGCAGGACTTGCCATGACTGAGGGACCAGCTAGCCTCAAGCCACTCAAAGTCAGCTTTGCTATTTCCTCTAGAGCCAGGAAATGCAGTCTTCTTCAGGTGAGCCAAGGCAGAAAAAGTGTAGTGAACTCCACATTATAAAAAGAGCCTGCCAGCCCTCTGTCCTCTGTTCCCACCCCCAGAGGTGCTGTCTCAGCATCCACGCTGCTCTAAGTTATATCCCTTACACCATCACCCAGTCACAGAGCTGTTTGGACAATTCCTTGATTAAACAACACTGCCTTCTTCAGTTTACATTTTATTTTACAAAAAGAGAAATAAAACTGATAGGCAGTTATACTGACTTACAATTGTTCTGTTTGCTTTTTTTTAAAAAAGTGACATGAAACACAAGTAAAAATAAATACGTCATAGAAACAGCCAGTTGCCCAGTCTCTAGGGCAGGAGCACCTGCCCTGCTGAGAGAGGAGGGAAGCCCGTGATCACACCAGCAGCTGGAGCACTCAGCTACAGATGCTCCTCAAAGCCAGGCGCAGGTCCCAGGCCTCAGGGGGCGTCCTGAGGAAAGAAGACGGAAAACCAAAGCCAGGTGCCAGGTCCCTGGGGCCACCTCATCTCCCCCTGACTCCCCCTGGCAGCAGTGTGGCCTTAGTGGTTATCCATTGCGACCCCCTCAACCCACCCTGGACCCCCTTCCCCAACCCCTCTGGAGAGGGTACAGGAAAAACACAGTCGGGAAGGCTGAGGGGATTCTTCTGGTGAGTCCCCAGCCCACCCTGAGTAACACAACCAGATAAGTCAGTTTACACCCATGTGCACATAAGCACGTGTGCGCACACACACACTCTGCCACACACACACACACACACACACACACAAACCTGGACTGAGCTCTCTTCCAGGGGAGGGCCCTAGGTTAGGTCACAGTATGAGGTCCCCTCTTCTGAATATTATCCCAATAGTGGTAACGGAGTACTCAAATCTCCCCCGGCCCCATCACTACAGCCTGTCTAGCTACCTCTCCCCAACACACTAGATTATGATAGCAAACAGCCCTCTGAGAGAGGAAAGGAGACCAAGTCCCCGAAGCGCAGAGAAGTTGGACTCTGCCTGCTCAGCAAGTTCATTGTTAAGACTCAGGTATTCATAAAAGGACTAGAGCCAAGACAGTGGCACAGAACACACGCGAAGGGGTCACAGTGGAATATACAGGGCAGAAGAGTCAGAAGGAGAGTCTGCAGGTGAGTGATTGGAGAGCATAACCTTCTCAGACAGACCATGAGGTGCAGATTTCTTTCTTGGGAACAGTCTGCCGAGGGCCAGAAAGTCTGCTAGGGATCTAAAGGTGGGAGGAGTTCTCTCAGGAGTTTTGGTGCAAGGAGAGTCACTGAGCTGGGTGCACAGGAGGCCACTGCTCAGGAGACACTGGGCTCCTGTAGAATCACAGGGGACTGGGAAGCACAAGGTTATGAACAGAAACACAGAAACAGGAATGTAAAGCCCCAGACGACCTTCCCCCAAGGGATGAGGACTCAATTCAGAGCGATGCCAGGCGTGCAGAGATAAGAGTGCCTTGCTCTGACTGCTGTGGGAGTAACAGTCCCACCCAGACTGTTAAAAGCTTGGTTGAGTGTTTCAACCTATTAGCAAAATGTTACCCCAGCTACTTGCTTCATGTACTGGAGTGGGAAATGTTCATATTTTGTTGTGAATCACAAGTATATAGAGATTCTACACACTAGTTCCTAGGGAATAGAGTTCTAAGGACCAGAGATATCCTGAAGTCAGAAGATGCTTAAGACAGATGCTTGAGAAGCATAACTCAAGGCAGTGAGAACTCTGCAGATATCTAATTTGAAAATGATCTGGATCCAACATGGTTCACTTACTTTCTCACTTCAATGGCTAATCTGTCTCTGCTGAATTTTTATCTACAAAAATACTGAGACAGAAAATCAAGCATTACTACAAGTGGTAATTCTGAATCATTACATAGTACTATATCCCCTAGATTGAGGATTTAGGCTAAACCAGACAGATGGGGCTTGAGGCCCTTGAAAACATTCTGTGGAAGACAGCAGTGAGGGAAGATGGCTAAACCTGATCTTCTGCCCTCCCTCTTACCATCCTTCTCTTACTCAAGCCAGAATGGTGGGTGGACATCACCACCAAGTTGTTTCTCATCAAAGAAACAATAAAACATCATTCTTAGGTTCTGAGACAGCTGCTTCCCTCACACATATGTTCATATTTGGTGTGCATGCATGCCTGCCTACCTGCACACAGAGACAGCAGAAATGTCAGAGAAGTGTTTTCACGTTCATTAAAAAAAAAAAAGGAAAACCATGGAACCAGAAGCACTCTAATTTCCCATGATCCTAGCCCTACTCTCTTATACACTGTAAGCTGTACATATCAAAGAAAACCTTGTCTACCAGGACAGCCTCCCAAAACTATGGTCTCTCCTGAGGTGAAGCAAGACTCAGCCCCTAGAACCACTGGGAAGAGGGCAGGCTTGTAATGGCACTGAGAACACCCGTTTGCTTCCCGGTACCTTCAAAAGCCCATCCCTCCAGGGACTGATTTCAGTTCCTCGCTGGGATAGTTTCTGGATTCTCAGAGCCTGCTGCTGTGATTTCCTAGAGGCGAACACAGAAATACC